CGCCAAACACCTGATCCATCAAAATCAGTATAAGGTTGCCGAAGTGTGAGTTAATTTTTTGACAAAAGTAAGAAATAAGGTCGGATAATTTTCCAAATAAATGATGGTATCCGTGTGTTCCCCCTGGCCTCGACGACGACCATAGCGCTCCCATTGCGCTATGAGAGAAGTGAGACAAGTGAGACAAGTGAGAGGAGACGAGTGAGACCCGAAGGTTCCCGTAGCCCCACCACACGCCGAGCGAGTCCGACGGTGTGCGACGAAGTGCGACGGAGTGGGACGGAGTGTTGGGGCGCCCCCCGATCACTTCTTCAGTTCTCGTCGGACCTCCGTAGGAGTAACACTGCGCCGCTCACCCGTCCCAACACGAGAGTCCGTCTCCGCTATTCCGTTCTCTCCCCTCCCCCACCCCCCAGTCGTCCCCCGTCAAAGTGAAAACAACAACGAAAAGTAAAAAATAAAGCATCAAAAAACGGAATAAAATCCATCCAAAAAGGATAAACCCAGTGAGGAGTCGGAAAATAAACAAAAAAGTGGCGTGAATCTCGGTGAAGTTGGCTGGAGTGGATGTGAAAAATATAGCGGATGCATTCCCGTTAAATCGTCATTTCCCGTTGATCTGTTGACGAGTTGGTCATCGATAAGTCGTGATTATTGGGAGTGATATGGTGGATAAGTGATGGAAATCCCGGAAACAAAGGAAATAAGTCGGGAGTGATGTGTATTGTGGGTTATTGAGTTGATGGTTTTTAATGGTTTTGAGAATTGTTGGTGGTGGCGAATAACAATCGGAGGTCCAATTTGTTTGTGGAAAGTAGGTTGTCCCTCTGTGTGCGTGTCCTTGGTGAATGCCCGATACAACACGGGCATTACTGCTTGGACGGCCCAGTTTTAACCGACGCGCACTTTTACGTAACGATAATACGTGATTTAATATTTTTTTTCATGCATCAATAGTGAGAAGTTATAATTGGGATTAATTGGTGTTTACGGGAGGTGGTGTATTTGAATCATTGGTGTGCGCTCTAGCGTTTATCGACACTCGGTTGGAGTTGATAGGTTTTTGTTTTTCGACGTCGTGAGGGGGGCGGGGTTTTTGTCGAGTTTTTGGGGGGAGTTTTTTTCGGCGATTTGTGTGCTGTGAAGGAGATGGCCGTGTCCAGTGACTCGTTAATGGTTTAACCGAGATACAGCGAAGTTTCACGAAGTGCGTTTGTGGTTCGGTGAATGGTTTTTTTTTTTTAATCGGTTTTCTTGGTGCTACATTGGGGACAAAAAATCCCGACTGAGGGAGAATTTTTGAAGGGGTTTTTGGAGCTCTCGTGATTTATTAGTTGAGGTGATTTTTGGGGGTAACGACCGGAGATTGTGGTGGGTAGAGTGGATTTTTTGAGTGAAGTGATCGTGTTTTTTTTTTCTTGTGAGGAGCACGCATTTTTTTGGATTTATTTGGATTGGATACTGGAGTTATTCCCCGGCTGTGGAGAGGAGTTACAGCGACGTGAGAGTTTAGGTAAGTGATTTTTGCTTTTTGAATTTTTATTTTCGGAAGGAGGAGGATGTTATTGGGTATTGGGTGCCATTTTGTTAATGGGAGGGGGAAGGGTAATTGGGGAGAAACTTTTTGGTGCAAGTGGGGTTCAGATGGTGGAGTTTGGAATTTAGTTGACGGAAAATTTTAATGTTAAGTATTTCAGAAGTTTACGGGTTTTCGTTTATGGTGAAATTAATCGTTGGAAACTTTCTCTGAATATTCATCGAAACCAGTTTATCATTCTTCTCATCGGGGTTTCGTAATGGTTTTTCCTGAAATATCGAGGATATTATTGAATCGCAGAGTTCACTTTGCTCGGTGCAACTGATATACTTTAATGATGTTTTATGAATCCACGGGAAATTGACGATTGAGGGAAGTTTATACTGTTAGTCTCATTAACTTATAACAAATTTGACGAATTCAGGGGGGATAAAATTGGATGTATAGTGGCGAATAGAATAACAGGGGAATAATTAACCACTTTGACGATAAATTGAATTGGTTATGGTTGAGTATGAGAATTATATTTCGGCGTTTTCTTGTGGCACTGGCAAGCGACACTAAATCCCAATGTTACGGCCAACAATAAATT